CAAGGTGCTGTGCGGTATGTGGATTAGGTCAAGATACTCCACCTCTCTGGTCTGGTTGATAACATCGTTCCAACAGTTATATTTCCATTTTTCTCTTGATTAACGTTTCGCCGGCAGCTTATAGAGGACTTTGAGATAGGGCGTCTGCAATTAAAGGAGAAACTTAAGACAATATGCAAGTCTATTGTCTTGTTTCTCGATGTTTGGACAAGCCAGAACTACTTCCCAATTCTTGATATTATCGGTTACTGGCTTACAGAGGACTTTCTATACCAGGAAAAGGTACTAGAGTTTACAGAACCCTATGGTATTTATAGTGGAAAAAATCTTGCTGCTGCTGTTCAACAACTTCTCTCTGAGTTGGATCTTGAAGAAAAGCTAATCACAATTACTGGAGATAATGCCAGTAACAACGAGGTTATAGTTTCAGAGCTATACTATACTCTAAAGACAAAGAAGAGTGAATGCGGTACACTCCAGTTTCAAGGACTTGATAACTATATTCGCTGCCTAGCTCATATCTTAAACTTGGTTGTAAAGGACATCCTTCGGGCACTAAAGTCTGGTAGTAGTAAAGAGGCAAATTCTGCCTACAATAGTTTCTGCAATAGACAGTTTATATTTATACGGTTAACACTGGCAAAATTCCGAATTCTTAGTCTTTGGATTGATTACAGCCCTCAACGGAAGCAAAAGTGGAAGGATATTTGCTGATTTATGAACCTCCGACAAATTCATTGAATATAATGTGGAAACTCGATGGAATTCCACATATCGGATGATGATGATAGGTTGAAATCAAAGGCCCAGATTAATCATTTTCTGGCTCTTCAGACTGAGATCCCTCTGTTTACAGAGAATGAATGGTTACGGCTTAGTCAAATCTACCAAGTTCTTGCTAAATTCAATGAACTTACATTGTTCTTGTCTGAGAAGAAACCACAGATCATTCTCGCTGTGCCACTTTATTATGAGCTTCATAACTTACTGTACGAAGGATCTGAATCTCAAGGATCCTTTTCAGGATTAGATTATGATATTGCAGTTACAATAAAAGAAGGCTTATCAAAGTATAAAAAGTACTACACATTAATGGATAATTCTGATGTGTACTATACAGCGCTGATCCTGGATCCTAGTGTTAAAGGAGATCTAATCTTGAGCGAGATTGAAGATAAAGAAGCAGGTAACCTTATTTTAAAGGCCATCCGTAGTAATCTCTACCAAAGATATCCTCTTCCTGAGAGAGAGCTACTAGGAATTGGTTTATCTCAACAGTTTACTCCAACTTCCCAGCCTAGTAATGGGGAATCCCGAATGCTCCAACGACTACAACTAAAAGCCTTACCTTATCATTCTGATATTGATCAGTATTTTGACAATTCTAGTGTCACTTTAACTGATACAACCAACATACAGTGGCTTTGCAATTGGTAGCGTGTACATAAAGATGAACAGCCTCAAATGGTAACAGCGGCCAGGGACTTTCTAGCAATCCCGGCCTCAGAAGTTGCAGTTGAAAGGCTATTAAATAAGGGAAGAGATTTGTTAGGGATCCGGCGGCACTCTATGAAGGCAGATACAATGAGGATATTGATACTGATGAATGATACCTACTCGCCATGAATTTAAGCGAAAATTGATTAGATGTGACGAGCGTGTCGCACTAGGTAAGATTAGTTGAATATAACGATCCTAGATTGAGCCCTTCACATTAGATATATATTATGATCATGTGGAGTAAAATCGTTATATTGTAAAATAACCAACTAGTCCTAATTAAGTAATTTTGACGATTTGCCGATATAGTCAACGAATTGCTAATATAGTATCGTCAAAGGTGAGGCTTGCCTATCATGATAGTCAAATAGTATCGTCAACCTTCTAGGACTGACTATATAGTATAGTTGCCGATATAGTATCGTCAAAATAGGCAAATAGGCAAATAGGCAAATCGTGAACAGCCCTGGAGTCATCCTTCAATAATCCGTTCTAGATGGGATTATTGACTAGTAGCAGCAATTGAGTACTTCAAAAACCTCACGACGCATGCAGACACGTGATTCCAAAAGAGTCAACTGACTCTGAAGCCCTAAAAACATCCCGACAGCCAAGACTTGATCTGCGGCCTCATGAAGAGAAACAATCCCGGCGAGGTAAGCAACCTCTAATCTTGCCTTCGGTTAACTTGTAACTCGTCTTCATAAACCAGCATTCAGCTATTTAATAACCACGCAGATAAGGCGCCCTACCCCAATGGTCGGGGAGTCGGACATCCGGGCTAAAATCGCGTGCTCTGTCGTTATCTGCCACATTAGCGCGATTAGAAATCGGCTACCGGGAGGGTGAAGGTATCGGCAGAAGATGCAGACAAATTGGAACTTCTGATAGGCTGTCAGGATCATGTTGAGAATTGCCGGATACACCTCCGCTTGCCATCGATCCCTGTTGTCTCCAACCTCCCTAGTCAGGAATGATATGCATAGCAGCACCTAGACCATCTATCCTGCTACTATCGAGAATGCTTGCCTCTTCATTTATCACGGTTTTCATTGGACAGCGGGTTAGTCTACCTCGTTGGTCGCAATCATTGCTTCTGATCACGAAATTGTCTACCCCACGCCTGTGTCTTCATTCTCATTTAAAAGGGAAGCAAATTTCAGAGAGTCCGACTCAAATATTGTCAGATCACCGCTGAATACGAACACGCTTCGTAATGTCTACCAATTTAGGTCGCGCAGAGAAGGCAGATGCTATCTCAAGCACCGCCGCTGTCGACGAGGACGTGCGGCTTCACTCTTCGAATGAGCTTCCCAATCCCGGAAAGCAGAACGTGCATTATGTCAGTCGCAATGAGGATGGATCGCTTCCCGCATATGATGAGAGATTTATTCCCGGTTATGATGCCAATCTTATGCAAGCTCGAGCGACGCTGAGTAGCGACGAGGAGAAGAAATTGCTTCGCCGAATAGATTGGCACTTAATTCCTCTGCTAGCGGTGATGTATATGGTCAAGACAATTGACTCAAATAATGTGGGTAATTTAATACCGTTCCAGATAAATAGAAGAATGCTGACGGAGACCAGGTCTCGAACGCTCGAGTGATGGACAAAGATACTTCGTATAATATCATGACTGAGTTGAACATGACATCTAATCAATATAATCTTGTCACGACAATGTATTACGTGAGACGACCTCGTCAGGTTCAAAAAGCCTAGCTCACCTCTTTAGATTCCTTACATAATTGCGGAAGCTCCGTCAAATTTACTGCTGAAAGGGGTGCGACCGTCTGTATGGCAGGCTCGAGTCATGGTGAGCATCACACAATGTTTGTTCTGTACATGATCTAACATCAGCAGATCTCATGGGGTATAGTCCTCTGTTGCCATGCCGCTGTCGTTAACCTACAGGGCCTGTATGCGGTGCGATTCTTTCTCGGTCTTTTCGAGGCAGGTTTATGGCCAGGCATGCTTCTGCAGCTGTGTTACTGGTACCGTCCAGACGAAATGGCACCTCGGATAGTTCTAGTGACACTTCTCGGCAACTTCAGCTCTGTGATCAGTGGAGTTCTTGCTTTTGCATTTAACGGGGTTCTAGCTAGAGGTCTATCCGGATGGAAATGGTAAAACCCCTGCGTACTTCTTTAAGTGAAGCCAAACTAAATCATATCAGGTTAATTTTGACCGAGGGTATCTTTACGGTCGTTCTTGGGATCTTCGTCTTCTTCTTTCTTCCAGACTGTAAGAATACGTTCTTCCCATGTCCACACCGATGCTAAATTTCCACGCAGTCCCTTCTACAGCCTCCTGGCTCTCCGAAAAAGAAAAGGCATTCATTCAAGCCCGCCTACCGAGTAACTCTCCACGAGCAGCCGAAGCAAACTTCGACCTCCGCGAGCTCATCACCACACTGAAGAATAAGCGAGTTTGGCTTTTCCTGCTTTGTTGGGCATTCTTCACTGTCGGTACAACTGGACTTCTATTCTACCAACCAACTGTCATCGCCAATCTGGGCTTCACGTAAGCCGACACCTTTCTCATCAAAATAGACCTTTACTAACATGAAGCCAGGTCAATTGCCCAAACCCAACTACTAAACATTCCCTCGGCTGTATTTGCAGTGGTCCTGACCATCGTCTTCGGCATCTTCGCAGACACGGGACGAATTCCGCAACCATCAATCCCTTTAGGATTCATGATCGTCATCCAAGCCTGTTACGCCGTGCTCTACACCTTCCCAAGCAATGGAGGCGTCTACGTAGCTACCATAATTGCTACCGGTTTCTCTAGTGCATGGCAAGTCCCCCTTTGCCCTCAACTCTTCTCCCCAAAACCAAACCACTAACACAACCCCCAAACAAACAGGTACACCATGATGTGGCCCTGGCGCGTGCAAACAACCCAAGGCGCAACAGGCTCTGCATTTGCCATTGCGTTCGCGAACAGCTACGGCCAAATCGGAGGCGCAGTGGGCTCGCAGCTGTTCAACTCCCGGTATGCGCCGCGATATGCGACTTCTTTTGGTATTGCGATGGGGTTTGTGGGTATTGCTATTGTGATGAACCTTGTCACTTGGTTCTTTACGTGGAAGGTCGATGTTGATACGAGGCGATTGAAGAGGATTCGGATTGCGGCTGCGAAGAGGAATGAGGCTGTTTTGGATGATGTTGATATTAGGGAGAAGAGGGAATAGGGAGGAGATAATGGATGCTGTATGTATGGGTCGTGAGGGTGGAGGATGGTGTGGTTTCATGGGTGAGTACGTGCTGAGAGGATTGCAAGTAAATAGAACACAACCCTGGGCTCCGTCTGTCTTAGGCGATTCTAAGTAGACGTGGTTTCGCACGGTCTATGACTACTCAGTATGCTCAACATCTAAGATATCGTGTTGATTGACATCATACATTTACCATCAAGTGGCACGACACCAGATAGCCACCAGCAGTCCATTATGCAATAGTTCTATGTAATATCATGATCATCTGATGTACAGTATATCCAATTCCCTAGAATAAGAACAAATATTGCAAATACGCATTTAAACCGCCGTAGTCGCCGAGGACTGGGTCGTCGTCCATCCCTTCTGTCCAAAGCATTCCAGAACACCATCATTGTTCGTGACCGTTGGGGCTATATTTATCACTGTCGTATTAATAATGATACACAGCGAGCACCTCAAATGGGTAATACAGAACTTACTCAGATCCAAATGCGACTGCGTAAACCCGTCAGGGTTAGGATCGCAAATGCATCCCACTTCAGGAATGCCGGTGGAAATTGTACAACCATCACGGCAAGTAGAGGAGAGGCCGCCACTATAGATAGAAAGTCAGACATTATCCATAGTGAATTTTATACAGGGGTTGGTCTTATAATAATTGAACCAATCGGATCGTTTCGATCAAATCAGACAAATCAATTTATTGGGTTACTTACTTCTCCTGCGCAACAATAGTGCCATCATTATTGATCAGACACCAGTCCAGCGGCAGCGCAGAGTATCCCGTATAGCCGTCTCCAGGGCATGTGGCCTGGAGTATCCAGCCGTGCTCGTCGCTGTAAGGAAGGATTCGGTACTGATCGCATCTGTCGGCGAAGCTCTCGGCACCGATTAGGGCCGGAAGCGAGGCAAGGATGATGGGGAGGGCGTTAGAAAGATGCATTTTTGGTGATTTTGAATCGCAGAAAGAGTTGTTAGAAGCTTAGGGAGATAATAAGTGCGGGTTGTTCTTTTAAAAATAAAGAAACTCATGTCAAGCATTTTCGCCCTGTTTTCTGCCCCCAACAAAGGAACTGCGCCTGATTCCAAAATATGGGGATTGAACTAGTCAACGATAGGGTATGATAGAGTGATTATCAGTTGGTTGCCTACGCCTTGGGCCCGTTGGGGTTGGGGGCCAATCGTCATATCTATACGGCTCAGCCTGTTTTTACATGCCTTTGAAACATCGTCTGTGTTAATGAAAACTCTTTTTTATTCTTCTCTGATATAAGATAAATTAAGACTGAGAGCGAACATCCCTAGTCCAGTATATCGAAAGGGGCTTCCATGAACCAGAATAGTTGATTCTTGTAGAACAACTAGAGATGTTGATCGACACATGGATCCACAACAATCTCCACAGTGAACAAATAGTACGTACAAAGCTAAGGAGCCTGATGTACCCCTTACGTGTCTGGTCCACAAGGATGCAATTATCTAGCCATTCACATTAAAGTGTCCAGATCCTCAATACAAATTGTTCATGGGTTGTTTTATTTATATTTAAGGTATTGCTACGGAAAGAGCCGACTTAAATCTATTCTTCCAACGCTCTCTCAAAAAGAATGGTTAATACTAAACCACGTTGTTTACCCACTTCTCAGTGGTATAGTGTACTTTCTTACCTGGAAGATCCCCACTTGGGGCACCATGCTCAGCCTGATTTTCTTTTCTTGGATTTGTATGGTACCCTTCGAAAGCATGATTTTCGTCATTCAACTACTCAGTTATGTTCTCCGTGTGAGACACCACACAACAAATCATTGGATGTATATACTATATTGCCGCATGCAAGCAATAAAAGATATTTCTTTATAATGACTAAAAGTTCAAAGAAAAACATCCAACAGCATGTATATGTCGGTGTTCACCCAGCCCAGCGCCCACGGGGTTGCCGCTTTGACGCCGGCGCTCCGGCGGCTTCAGGTGAAGCCTTCAGTCCCCTGAATATTTTGCACCCAAGCTATCAGAAGTTACATTTTGACATTGGTGCAAAAACGCAGAAAGGAGGGGAAGATACGCCTTTAAAAACTATGGCGCTTATACCCTCCCGCTCTTCTACTTTTCATGCACCAGGTTGCTCGTTCAATATGCGGGAAGATCTAGCAGGGAGATTTACGTGTGTAGTTAACCTCGATGATCACGATAACAGAGATAAGAAGAGCTGTTCTTCCAAAGAAAAAGGCAGACTATGAGAAGACTCTTGAGATATTTGACCGGTAGATGAACACTTTTAGCCTACAGAGAATTCTTACTGATGTTTCTAGATTTCTAGAGCTGCACCCTACCGTCCGATCTCCCTCTGACATCCAAACCTACAAAGCCTTCCTTGAGTTCGTGGCCAGAAACACGGATGGGCGAATCGAGGAGAAACCTGTACCTGACACCATTGAAAGTTTTCGACGGCACTTTGAGGCAGGCTTAGCCCGGAACCGGAACTTCTATGTCCCCCAAAGCATATCTATAACAATGAAGGAGGTTCGTTCGCTTGAACTGGATTCACATAAGATACTAAAGAGACCCATAGTATATCTATCAGATTTAGCAAATAAATTGGGTCTTCCAAATGTCGAGAAGCCCAAAGATGGATTTTCTCCGAATGATTTGATCGTCTTCAAAACACAGATCTGGTGTAGGGACTTCAAGGAATACCGGGGCTGTTATCCTGATCGGAGTAGAGTGCAGCTCTCAGCATCAATACTATTATATTGATTTTCCTCTGCCCGAACTGGAGAGGTCCATGAGTCGACAGCCCGTCGAAACATTGCTCGTCAGAAAAAAAAGACGATAAAAACTCCATTGTTCGTGCTAATGTCATGGCAGCATGTTACAAGGTTCGGATTTCGCAGTTATAACTCGGCAAAGCTGTAATACTGATAGTTTGTAGCATTTTGTGCTCACTATAGAGTTGGTTAACCAAATCCCGATGCTAGTTTTGGCATATTCTCGGGAGTACATCAAAGGCTATTAACAGAAGAGATGAGAGCTTCCTATACACGCCTTCTATGAGGTGTACAGGGAGGAGGTACCGCTGTTCTTCAATTTTATCCCGTTTATGCTGCCACTGTTTTCTGGTGACCGGGCCTTCCTCCAGTACAATTCTTATTCAGAGATACTTGATGCAGTCAAATCTATCAAACTCATTGACCTAGCCACACAAGATAACTACATTATTTCGGTTATTTATTTCTGGAATGACCTCCTCGATGTTCCAATCTTCAGGCCATTTGACGAACTTGATTGTGAACGCTCTACCGGGAGGGCGAAGGGTACTGATACCTTTAGAAAAGAGTTTGCAGATTTCGGTTATCGAAGCGGATATAGTCAGAATGTTACCGCCCGTGTGTGTTACCGGTAGAATCTCATAGAAGTGGGCAAGAAATATCCTAATCTGGTATCCGCGTCTAAGTATTAACATACTATAGATAAAAGTATTCTCAGACAGCCTGTATGAGATAAGCTGGACACGTCGAACCTCACACCTTTAGCAGGTCATTTGCCTTACCAGTATGCGAAGTAGACGGACCTGCAACCTACTTAAATATAATAACTCGCCATGAGCAAATTCAAAATTGACGGAGTATGGGCTTGTACCGAAAGATCAACCTGTAGCAATTACTACCCGCGAAAGCAGAGTTTGAGTTCCAGAAAAGAGATAATGTTATAGCCTTTGACAAAGAATCGACATCCCTCAAGGGACAGCTTTAAAGCGTAAATTATCTCGAAACTGCCCAAGAGATCCGGTTACAGTGCCGACGTATCAAGAGCCAAAAGGACAAATTATATCTAGAGGAACTAAAACGACAACGCCATATCCAGCATAATCATCGCCTTGCTTGACCGGACCGATCATTCAACCGATCGATATGAACCGTATGATTTATGACGATATAGATCATGCAATTCCGCTCATTTTATGACGATCCTGAAGCCTCTGAGATTGCATAAATATCGGCTTCTTTATCGTGTAGTTAGAAGAATTAAGACCTTCATTCAGTTGAAAACGATCATATTCCTTGGCTGTAGAATCGCTTCTCGGAAGATCCACAGTAATCTGCCACAACAAGGTTCCAACATCGCAACACACGCTAGTCATGTCATTAACAAATCAGGTAACTATGGAGACTTTTGGTTCACAGTAAGCATCCGATTGGGTTGTTGTGGCCATCTTTGTGAATGTGACTCATCTGATTAACCGACCACACTTTATACGGAACAATGGTCACCGCGGACGGGCCCAAATAGGAAACTGAGAGATGTGCGGAGATGTTGTAAGGTAACCGATTACGCTTTTCGTCCCTTCTCGTCAATGCCTAATACTCCGGAAAGACCGAATCATGTGGCAGTTTTCCGAAATATTTAGTGTAAGGGTAAACCGGGAAATCAGGGTCTTAGTGGGGGGCCTGTAAACTCACCACGAATTTAGCCTTACAGGGGCATCTGCTAATCTATTCCCTTTAAGAGAAAGCCATTTTCCTCCTTGGGCCATATTGCGAACCTACTTGTTGATCTACTTCAGAGCTGAAGAGATACTCCGACTGGCTCCGCAATCTTTCCGTCGCCGTCCAACAGGCCAACATTATAAATACCGGCTGTCGTGCGATGTAGCGGGTTTTGATGCAATTCTAAGATACTCTTCCAGGCGGGATCCTAAATATCGTCAGGAACACCGTATTCCAGATCAACTTTGTCAGCGTCGACGCTCATGTGCCAGGATGACCTCCTTTGAAGAGAGAGTGAATTTTCTCCGTCTGTCATCTGAGAATGGCAAGAAGCCCTTGCCACGGGTTACACTCGGGGCTGTCAATAGAGATGGTATGGAGCGACGCCTCACATAACACTGTTTTTCTATAGTAACGTACTTTTTGCTAACATCAATCAATCAAGGTTCCTTGCATTACGCTAAGGCATTTGGGGAGGCGTCGGTCGAGTCTACTGATACCGATGCCGTGCATTTGGTGGCTTCTTGTACCAAGTTTGTGACTACTGTTGCGGTAATGCAGTGTGTCGAGCGCGGTCTGCTAGACCTGGATGCAGATATCGCCAATGTGTTACCGGAGTGGGAAAGCCCTCGGATCTTGACGAGCTTCGACGGGAATGATAATCCTATCTTTCGGCCAGCCACCAAACCTATTACCCTACGGTATATATGTCGCACACTTCCTCCGAAACTGTCGGGATGTACGGTTCGGATGTACTAACGGCTACAAGGTGCATGTTGACCCACTCCAGTGGCATGGCTTACTTCTTCATGGATCCTCTTATGACACGCTATTATGAATTGCAAGGAAAACCGCCGTTAGTCCAAACGTTTTTCCAATTCCAGTTCCTGCTTTTCGAACCGGGCGAACGATGGATGTACTCTCCTGGTATTGACTGGGCGGGAGAAGCAGTAAGTCCTGGAGACTTTGGTCATCCGTAGGCGCGATGGAATGACAATGGCTGATTTGAAAAGGTTGAGCGAGTCACTTCTATGAAGCTTGGCGAATACCTGCAGCGTCATGTTTTCGATATTGTCTCCGTGAAGGATGCCACATTCCATCTCGACCAGAGAGAAGACCTACGGGCCCGAATGGTTAAATCCTGGGTGCGAACGGATCAGGGTCTGGAGGAAGAGAAGAATCCTGTCTTCCAAGACCCGATTGCGAAAGACATTGGAGGAGGTGGCCTATACACAACCGTGAACGAAATGCTCCAGATCTGTCATGGCATACTGACGGAAAAGTTACTACGCCCGGAGACTCTTCAGGAAATGTTCCAACCTCATCTGGAAAGTATTCAGGGTCTCGACCAACCGCACGACTATTCGTTGGCATCCCGCAACGCCATTTGGAATGCAGTCCCAAATGAGGTGCCAGTAAACTTTGGGATCGGTGGTCTGGTGAATACATCTAGACTCCCGAAACGACGAGAGGCACATTCGCTCACCTGGTCCGGAAAACCAAATTGTTACTGGGTTCGTCATCCGATACCTACCGGGAATCCATTGTAGCTGACTAACCTATTCTAGTGGATCGACATCAACAAAGGCGTCGCTGGCATATACCTCTCTCAGCTGCTGCCGACCGGAGACCAGACTGCCATTGAGCTGCTCACTGAGTTCGAAAGATGGGTTTATTCGCGTTTGGATGAAGTGGGTTGCCTGGCAAAGCAGAACGCGGATATCTCCAGCCGATAAAAGGATTAATACGGTCCTGGACTTTTTCTCGAACGTACCACGTATTTGGAGGGCATTCCTGCTCTGGCTATTTCTTCACCGTCAGCTGCACGTCGAAATTGGGCGCACTAGGCGTCATGAAGTCAATATCTCTGGGCCAGCTCAGTATGCATGTGCGAACCACAACTCAAACGCTGCTGCCTCTTGCTTACGGATAATATGCCGAGGATCCCACAGTTTATTAATTTTGATCTTCCAGTTCTGACAGTCAGAATAAGGAGACGCGTATCTAAGAGATGAAATGGATATTACATTGAACTATATCTCCCGGGGACGGAACAGCGGGTGGAGAATTGGCTGGCTGCGACTCGGGCTTGATCACAGCCTGTTTTCCTCAGCGCGGACTTTCTTTCCGATCTAGCGATCGGATTATGGAGACGTGTATATTATAGCTGCCGAAGAAAGCTATCTCGTCTACTTGGGTGGGCATTGAGTAGAAACAGTTTGCCTGGCGTGGGGTTCCTCGGAATTGTTAGCTACATCGGTGGGAGTTAACACCCCAACCCACAGCACCAAATGTGACGTGACACAAGGATTGTCCATGGGGACAAAGGAAGGGTTGAAAGCTTCGCCAATGAACTGTATTGCTAAGGCACAACCGTACGGTTTTGTCTTCGGGCGGAGATTTCAAGGGGAGCATCGTGTTGAAATCGTCAAATGCCTACTGACTTCAATTTTTTAGGGTTCACTAAGCCAATAATGTAAATTGCCCTACTGGATTTATATGGTAAAGCAAACTGGAGTGTATGTCATGGCGCTTGTTCCAGTAATACTGTTGGATCTTCGAGCCAGGACGTAAGTCAGACCTCGCAGGACGGCTAAGAGAGATGTAAAGACGTCAAGTAGAGTGTGAGCTACCTACACCAAAGAGTGCGCAGCGTTTACCTTTCTCGTCAACTCTCGAGTTAGGGGTTGCCGTCATCAGTATCAATGTCGGTGGAGGCAAACACGCCAAATGAAGACGCTAGTTAATCGGATGGGCGGGACGGACCCTCGCAATCTGTCCAGAAACGGAAAGAATATAGTGGGGAGGCCTCGAGGCTTCCATGGACACAGCCACTAGTTAACCGAACAAACATTCATATATCTTATGATATTGTCGTCATTACCGAGCCTAGGTTGCCCATGCTGAAATCATACCTTGTTGATCTTTCATCTACCTCCCGAACAGATGGCCAAACCAGTCTTTCGCCCCTGAGGGCCCTGACCGTTGACAAAAAAGCGCCCCTGATTAATTATGATAAACAGTGAGTCATCTGTCGAAGACCGCTTGCGGCATCTCATGCCGAGCCTCTCGGTATACACTGAAGGTAGGCATTATCAAGACTGTCTCGAGCTATACAACCATGCGCTGAAAAAGCAACCACTGGTCTGCGCCCGGCCGCGGACAGAAGAAGAGGTCTCACACCTGGTTCAATTTTGCACCGAAGAAAAGATTTCCTTTGCTGTTGGCTCAGGCGGTCATGACTTCTTCGGCCGCTCCGTAGTCCACAAGGGCATTCTCATCGACATGCGCGATAAGGAGACGGTCAGCGTCGGGGCGGACCGAGCCAGTGCACGCGTTGATGGCGGAGTGATCGCCGGCCACCTGCAGGAAACCCTCAATTCTCATGGCCTATTCACCTCTACCGGACAGGCAAAATCCGTGGACTATGTCTCATGGGCATGTGGCGGAGGGTACGGCTTCTATGTTGGAACATACGGGTTTGGGGTCGATCAGATCCTTGGGGCTCGGGTGGTTTTGGCCGGGGGGCGCGTCGTTGATACCAACGAAGATTCAGAATTACTATGGGCACTCCGCGGCGCTAGGACTAGCACATTCGGCATCGTCACGGAGCTTCGCGTGAAGGTATACCCAGTGCCTAAACTATACGCTGGCTTCCTAGCCTTCCCCCTCGCTGAGGCCGCAACTGTCATGGACAAGATTGAAAAGCTCTTAGATGATGATTTTCCCGATGAGTTCAGCGGAGATGCCATCGCCGTAAATCCTGAAATGGCTCGACGCCGGTAGCCGAGCCCTGTTTTGTTCTGTTTTGGTGTTGGACATCAGTCAGCGAAGACCTCGCGCCTGCGAAAAGCTTTCTTGAGCAGACGGTGCAGGCCGGCAGGGTTCTAGGGAACACGATCACGGAGATTCAGTTCCAGGCTTCCATCATGACATGAACTCCAGTTAACTGATCTGGTATCCAGCTACACCAGCCGCCTACGGCTTGGGTGATTCATCGTCAGGAACCTTCTTCCGCAGTCGATCGGATACATCAAAATGTTGGCACCATCCTCACACGGCACCCTCCACCATATCCGCTGTCCGCTGTCATCTTTCACAATAACCATGGTAAGGGGGCCCGACACGAAGTCGCAGATACTGTCGGGGCGGCCTTTCCGAATCGATATCAACATGTCATTGTCGGACTCCATAGTGGCACCAGGCCAGGCTGGGCTGATGGACAGGAGCTTGCAGGTGCAGCCAGATGGGTCATAGAATTGGAGAAAGCGGTTGATCAGAATGGGTTTTCCTTGCCAGGAGGGTTCCCTGCATTTTGGCCCCCTGACCAGGTGGACATAGAACGATTCTTCGTAGAGGAGAGGGCCTCAAGACTACGGCAACTGAAAGCGCGACTAGATCCGAATAATCTATTTCACCATGTCCTGCCCGGGCTGAATGGATACTGAATGGAATCGGATATCGTTCTGTCTTGTAGAAAGTCCGCCTTGAAGCGGGTTATAGTGTCCTAGTTGTTTTGCGGATGATTAGTAATTCACGTGTGATGCGGCAATCCCTCGTGATCCATCTGATTCTACCCGATTCCTCGTCTCCAATGCCATTATTGAACGCAAAGAACGACACAGGAAGCCAACAGTCTATCTGACCAGACATGAACTTCCCCCGCTTACTTTTCAAACAAGTGCTGGTCAGCTCGTCTTTAAATCCGAGCACGCAGCAGGAGCACAAATCTCTACCAGGTCGACCGCGAAACAAAAGCAAATTGGGCTGTCGAGAATGCAAGGCAAAGCGGGTCAAATGCGATGAGGCCTATCCGACGTGCAAGCGGTGCCAGCGTCAAGGTCTTGTCTGTTCGTCAGCCCCGCGGCTAACACAGTGGCAAGTTGAGACACCGTGGCTCTCACTGCAGCCTAAAACACATGTCAATCAAAGACTACTACAGTATTGGCTGGAGAAAGTCAGCCAAGCGTCGGTTATAGATCCTGAAAATAATCCGTTCTCTTTCCCTATTTTGGAACACGTTGCCCAATCGCCCGCACTTCTCCATGCTATCCAGTCAGTCAGTGCCAGCTATGAGCAGTACTTCCCGGCCAAGACTCCCATTCTGGCCCTTGAGGAACGTGGCAAAGCCATAGCTTGCCTTCGAAGAGAGATGAATCAGATCCAGCGCGTTCCTTACACACACTTTCTGACCATTATACTGCTGGCTCTGACGCAAGTTGCTGATTCTGACCCGAAGGATTATGGCAGACAGCATTTATTTGGTGCCCGCGCCTTGATCAACAGTATGCTGCGAGACATATCTATGTCGACGACTAATGACCCTGTGGTTCGACTCTGCCTGGGAATCTATCTTTACTGGGACATGTGCAGTTCATTCTTGGTAAAACCATGTGAACTACAGGGTCTCAACTCATTTAACATATCCCTCGCGGTACACGGGATGGGAGACTGGCACCATCCAATGTACGGAACATGTAGCCGACTACTCCTTATCATAGCGAATGTCGGACGATATTGCCGACAGATACATAATATGCCACAGAACCGCAACCCCATGCAAGAAGCCATGCTAGAGGCCCAGCTTAGTACCTGGACGACGAGCCCCCCAAATCCCGACCTGGGCCACTTATATGAAGCGTTCCGCAACCACGGGCTTGTTTTCCTTTATCGATCTCGTGCACATGCACAGAGAGCTTGTCCTACGGATCCGGATGTGACTGAAGCTCAAGAGTCTTTGATCCTACAGTACGCCGAAGAGACAGTCCGCCATCTGCTACTAATCCCTGCGTCCTCGTACTCCCTTAATTTTCAGGCTCTCCCTCTTCTCACAGCCGGATCAGAATTGACCGAGTCGAATCACTTCCTGCGTGATGAAGTGCGTGGCAGGCTGCGAGCCATCTACTCTTTGAATCGCCTTCCCGCAAATCTAATGGCCCTTCAACTTGTTGAAGAACTCTGGGATGCCCGAGACAGTGGTAACCCCTCCTTCTGGCTATCACACACGCTGCAGAAGGATTGGTGGTTGCTTCTAGCATGAGGCTTTATTTTGTCAAATCTATGCTATTTGTCCTTTGGATGTACGCCCCCTATTCTTCGAGGGCTCATGAAAATACTCTCCCAACCAAGTCGCAGAATACCACTCCCTCTATATTTTCTTCTTCGCACCACCCTAGAGGACATGTCGGTCTACTGTTGAGAATCTGCCTGGCTGCCTGTTACTTGTGCATAATAGAATTACTGGACGCTCTTTTTGGCTATAGTGGTCAGGTCGGCTACTAAGGGTGCTCACCACATACTGAAAATTCCTCTAATGAGCCCATCAGATAAATATCGTGTAATGTCTACCAAGTTGCCTACGCAGGCTTGCCTCGTGATCACCATGTGTTTCTCGTCAAGGTAAATGATGACCAGTCCGGCCACGCCTTCCAGGTTGTCGGAGGTATCTAAAATGGAATGACGCATGGCCATAAATCAGCAAATAAACCAGACGAGCCGGCCACTTATCAAAGCAAAAATGACGAACTGAGGGATAGCTCCGCAGTCAGCGTTCGCTGTGGTGGAAGATCAACTGCCGCGGCAAGTACAGGAAAGTTTATGGACTGAATTCTGAAACCAAAACGGCAGAGTTGTACTCAGTCATAATAAGCTGGCCGGGAAACCAGTGCTGTTGTATGAGAGAGTCATATCCTCGAGTATGGACTGCAGTCTGCCGTAATCACACGCAGTATGTAAGCCAGGTGCGAGACTAGTATAACTTTCCGCTCAAGCATCCCCTACCCGTTTCAAGGAAAAAATACTCTTAGGGCTTATTAAAGGAAAAGATCCAATGCTATTCCGGTTTCTACTAGATTCGGAGGATGGACGGTATTTAGAATTAAAGCATTTTAAAGACATTATGCGGTTTCTGAGGATGGCAATGTTATAGAAGTTCATGTTTGGAGACTGACAACTTGATCCTTGATATAACGTAGTCATTCAAGCCGTGGCGGCTTTGGCGGTCACGGATAACTTAGATCGGGATCTCGTTTAAATAGAAAATCAGTGTCTTCCAAAAATTTTCGTCCTTTAAGAGGATCTGGAAGGAAGTCCTGGGTGGTTTGAAGCCTCTCTTGGTTTTGTTTGCAGTCAGTGGTCATGACCCGGGCAGCCTCTCTCAGAAGCTCAGGCCTACGATCCAAGAGGTGGAAGGGAACTTGTACGTCGCTCATCCCAGGCTCTTTCAATGCAGCAAGAGCATTATTCAGGCCACGATAGGATCGAGTGCTCTTTTTTGACAAACACATTGTTATAACGAGTTGAGCCAGAGCAGACTGTGTGTCTTTGATCCCTAGTTTCTCAATCATCAAGTAGACTGAGGTTGCATATGTTTGCAAGGCATTATTGGCAAGTCCAATGTCTTCCGAGGTCGCCACAATAAGACGGCGAGCGATGAATAAAGGGTTCTCGCCTGACTGGAGCATTCGAACAAGGTAATATAACGCAGCATCGGGATCACTGCCTCGAATTGACTTGTGGAATGCCGAAATGGTGTCATAGTGCTGATCTCCCGAACGGTCGTAAAGTAAACTCTTGGTCAATGAATGCTTCAACTTCTCCTTGGTCATGTTCGGTCGCCTGCATAGATCCGCAGCTATCTCCAGAACGTTCAGTGCGATTCTACTGTCACCATCAGCGAAGCCGGCTATGTATTGAAGGAATTCATCATCCAGAAGCGGGGATGACTTCAGGCTCTGTGATTCCACCGAACGACGAAGGATAGCCGCTATATCATTGGTGGTTGGCTTCGTGACAGTGAAAATCCTGCATTTGTAGACAAGAGCATGGCGAATATTCAATGATGGATTCTCTGTCGTCGCACCGATGAGAGTAATGTTATTTCTTCGAATAGCATCGAGAAATATATCTTGTTGCGGACGCGTGATTCGATGTATCTCGTCACAAAACACAATGGATTTCTTCCGATCGTCTTGCACATCCTGTGTAGCCTTGGTGACGGTGCTTTTGTATTCTGTCGTCGTCGTAGTCAAGCTACTAATCTCGTAGATATTTCTCCTCATTATAGGCGCGATGATCCTGGCAATTGTAGTTTTGCCGCTTCCTGGGGGCCCCCACAAAATCAGATTCGGAAGATTATCCTGTTCAATCAACCGCCTGAGTGTACCATTTGGCCCAATCAAGGATTCCTGACCGACGATTTCATTGAAGCACCGCGGCCGGACATGCTCAGCTAAAGGTGCATCACGAAGATTTAGTCGCTTCGTTTCAAGCTCAGTCGATGATGGCCCGATATCTGGCTTCTTTCGCGCGGTGTTGGACTCCTGCTGAGGGACGGCTCTTTTTAACATACTGTTAACAGCGAGTGGGACCGTTGACTTGTAGCCATCTTTCAGCTGATGTTGTTCCGTTGTTTCTTGAGGGCTGGTGCAACTCTCATGTTGCTCGCAGTCATTTTCGATGAGAGTAGATGATGCTCTACACTGTAGGTGGGTTGCGATGAATGCTCGACAGCCAGAATCGAGGTGTTCGTTGACGTTGGACAGAACAACATGTTTCTGGCATATGGGACATCTGATCATGGTTGAGATGGTGCTAGCAAATTCCGTCAGGTCTTCGATCGTATTCAAACCTCTGCTCGCTGCAAAGAGTGGCTATGACATTTGTGAAATATGGTTTATGGTGCTGCGTCGGAGGTTTCGGCAAATTACTAGTCGTGTCACTAGGCAGGTTTATACTTCTTTTTTTGTTTTTGCTCCTGAAAGACCACGGGAAACCTCCATCGCCAAGCACAGGGCGCTGGGTACATGTAAAGAAAGTCAAAATCTCGCGTTCTGGTCTAAAATGGAAAACTCGGCGGGCCCGTTGTGGGCCAAAAACCATTGGTCTAGGCAATTGCGTAGGCAGAAGTCCGTTGGGTGGAGCGAGTGGGTCATATTTTTATTTATACACAAGTGTCAGGCATTCAAAACTATTATTATTATTTGATCAAGTTTATTGTCCGTATCGAGCCCTAAAGCTATGACAGACCATATTCCATGAACTCGAGGCCAGCAGCTCGCTGCCTCTTATCCCTATGTGTTCCTGGGGCATGCCCCCTTCCATGATCATTCTAATCCTCTTCCTCGCCCCAAGCCGCCTGTATGTGTATGCGCAGGGCTTTCGAGCCTCTGGTGAGTGCTCTCCTTGTGTTTTTGGAGCAGGGTAGGTGCAGCATAAGTTAAGAGTCCGCTTAGGTTACCCTCCCAGCTCCCCTTCTCCTGTCATATCTGCTTCCTCCAATGCTTCTAGTCCCTATTCATTGTCTATCTGGGTTCTTTCTGCCTCCCGCTGCAGATGCCTCCGAGGAAGAGCTACACTGATACTGGCCAGGAATTGTAGTAGATCCCCAGTAGCCTTAGGCTTCCCAAGAAGTCTTCCTTCTGGACAGTCCTCTGCAGCAGTAGGTTTCATAACTCCAGCTTTCTCCAGGTCCTTGTAGAGCTTGTCCCGCTGGTGTCGCTTGCCGACATTCAAAAAGAAGGTGATGCACAGTCTCCTTCAATGTCCCGCATCCTTGACATCTCATGTCATCTCGGGCCTTTATCCGGTTTAAATATACCCTAACAGCTGCATGCCCGACTTCAACTGAAAAAAGCGGCTTGACAGGTGTTTGAATGCTACCGCAGCTGATGGATCAATCTTCCAGGTTCTATGTGGCCTGTAGGATCGTCGGGCCTGTTGGGGTCGCCGGTTGAGCTCCTTGGTGAGCCATTCTTGTCTTTTTGCCTGAATAGTCTCTGTCCGGGCTCTGCGGGCAAAGGCCAAAAAGATCTCCCTTGGACCAGCTCCTGGAGGTCTGCTAGCGGCCATCTTTGCTGCCTGGTCAGCTCTTTCATTTCCTTCTACCCCTGCATTCCCTGGGACCCATTGTATAGTGGGTTCGCGACCCTGGGCTTGCAGTTCCTGGGCAGCCACGTGTGCCTGCAGTGCTAGGGCCTGTCCTGGGCCTGTTTGAGTATGCTGCAGCCTGGCAATGGCGGCCTGGGAGTCTAATAGGATATTTACTGGTCCCTGGCCTTCCACCTTCTTTTCTATCTGTAGGGCCCGCACTACTCCCAGAAGTTCCGTATCGAAGACCTCGTATCCCTTTCCTAGTGGGAAGATTCGGGTCTTCCATACCCCTTCTGGGCTTTTCCATGCAACCCCTGCACCTGTTCTGCCCTTTTCTGACCTTGAACCATCGGACCAGATAACCTGTCCAGGAAATATAGCCTGTGCGGCTCCCAGAGCTTCCTGGCTAGGCAGGATCTTTATAACACCCGGGAAGCAGTTTCTGGTTGGTTGTAACAGACTTTCAAAGCCACTGGATGGATCTGCTGGCAGGATATTGGCTAGTTGTCGGGCTAGGTGTTGTCCTAATGACCATAGTCCCCGACTACTGCCTTCTGCCCACTGTCGATTCCCTGGGGTCTGTTCTCAAGGCTGGGCGTGTTGGTCTCCCTCTCAAAAGCTTACCGGGAGGATTTTCTTAGCAGGATAGTCTTCTGGTAACTTAAGCAGTCGGTTTGTATATCCCAGTTGCCGGGCTTCTAATAAGACCTTAGCTGGTATCAACCCCGCTTCACGGACCAAGGGGCCAACTGGAATAGTTTTCAGCATGCCCGTAATAGCTCGAGCTTGCCGATTGATCATCAGCTGTATACCTTCCTGCTGATCCCTCTGGCCCTGCCACCAGAGCTCTGCTCCGTAAAGAGCTATTGACTGTACTGTCGCAACCTGCACCTGGCGAGCCAGCCCTGGGGCGAGTCCATGACTCTGGCATAATCGTAGCACCCGGGCCTCCGCAGCCCGGGCCTTGCGCATGCAGGTTTGATAATGCGCCTTAAGGTCCAGGCCAGAGTCAAGCCATACCCCAAGCCACCTGGTGGCCTCTGGGTTAAAGGGAACCAACTGGCCCCCTAATTTCATGCGGGCTCGCTGAATCTGACCCTTAAGTACACGGCCATGCTTGCGGGTAAGCAGAACTGCCTCCGTCTTTCCCGTGTCGAATTGGACCATATTATCATGTCCCCACTCAATAGCCACCCGGGCTGTGTCTTGCAATTTGTCACAGACTTCTCTGACAGGGTATCCTGAGGCTATCAGGCCTAGGTCATCTGCAAATGAGAGACACTAGATCCCTAGTACTCTCCTTTCTATTACCTCGAACACGCCGCTGAGGTAAATGATAAAGAGAATAGGAGATACTGGTGAGCCTTGTGGCACCCCTGAATTAATTGGCTGTGGTGAGCACTGTGTATTGTCAATCTGTAGCTGGACACACCGGTCAGTTAAGAATGACGATCGTCGCAACTGCCATTTCTCGCATCACAGACGAGTTCAAGTCACTAGATCAGGTAAGCACCTACGCTAACAACATCCGAGAAGAGCAAGACCCCAATGTTAACTGTTGAGATAGGTGGGATAGTATGCAAGTGTCTTCTTCCTGACCTTTGCTTTATTCCAGTCCACATGGGGTAAGGGGTATAAATACTTTCCTCCCAAAAGTACTTTCTTGGGCGCGGTCTCCATCTTCAAGATCGGCTCTTTGGTCTATGCCGTGGCCAAAAACAGTACCACTCTCATCGTCGGCAGAGCTGTGGCGGGGATGGTAGGAGGAGGCATTGCGAGTGGCGCCTACACAATCATTGCCTTTTCGGCCCCTCCAAGGCAGCGCCCAGCGTTTACCGGCTTAATGAGGGCCACGTACGGATTGGCCAGTGTCATAGGGCCCCTTTTAGGAGGTGTGTTCACTGACAAGGCTTCGTGGCGTTGGTGGTAAGTCCTTCCACGATGAAGATTTATCTTTAACATGTCTAATTCTCAGACCAGTTTCTACATTAACCTTCCTATCGGAGGCTCGAGTGCCGTGATCATGCTTTTCCTCTTCAGGGCACCGCCGGCGGCCCAACCTGCGAAAGCCCGCCGGCGAGAGAAGATCCTGCAAATGGATTTGATGGGCACGTTCACCATCATGGCCGCCATTGTCTGTTACCTCCTTGCTCTGCAATGGGGCGGTGTGACCAAGGCATGGTCAAGTGCCGACGTGATCGGCACGATCGTGGGCTTTATGCTCATCACTGTGCTCTTTGTTGTGATCGAATGGTAAATGGGCGATCGTGCTCTTTTACAGCCTCGTCTGCTGAAACAGCGCAGCATCTGGGCCAATAGTCTTTACGTGTTCTTCCTCTCCGGGGCGATGTTTATCCTCATCTACTATCTGCTCATCCGTTTCTAATCCATCAAGAGCGCATCCGCGGCGCAGTCTGGTATACGTAATCTGCCGCTCATCCTGGCCATCAGTCTTCTGACCATCTTTCGGGCGGTCTGATCACGGCCACAGGACACTTTGGATCCCTGATGGTCATCGGATCGGCCCTGGCCACCATTGGTACCGGTCTGATCTATAACTTGGACATTGTCAACCGTATGTGACCGCTAGTCACATAGGAGATTTTCCTATTCCGGATATCGGTATTGGTACCTAGCGATCCCCGAGGATTATGCAGAGTTTTCTGTTATTTCCATGGTTCAAAAGTTATGTCTCTTCTAACTGCCTTTTTAG